GAGAGAGAGAGAGAGAGAGAGAGAGAGAGAGAGAGAGAGAGAGAGAGAGAGAACACCCAGCTTCATACACAGGACTAGGTTGTAAAACCCATATTGTTCACAACCCTAATGGCACTAGAATGGCTAGTAAACTCTGAGCTTAGGCAGAAGGCACAAAGACTACCCAACAGGAAAGGTGGAGACTAAGGCCCAGAAAGTTTACAGTTATATAAAAATGAGATGATTGCCATCCTTGGCTGAGTTTCAGGTGGATACTTTGTGGTTCTCTTAGTTAAGAGCCTTAGAATATGCTCAGCTATGCAATTTCTACAATGAAATCGATCAATGGTGAATTCAAAGTCACAGAAAAGGATGAGACATACCAACTTTCCAAAATGAAAAATCCACAAGGCCAAAGCCTTTGCATCAACTCATGGTACAGATTAACTTCTAACCTTCTAAACCTATCACCCATATACTCACTTCCAATCCTGAAATGGCATTTACACATCCGTAACACTTACATGAGTACTGAAGTACTGGTTAAAAAGTGCCCACAGTAAGTAACTTGGGATTTAGTTAGAAGCATCAAATTCTGATGAACAGTACTTCTACATACCTGACAATCTGAAGTACTCATAGCAAAGATAATTCTGTAGGACATGTGGTGGTCTTGTGAATGACCTTGGTCGATCACACACAAATCTGCATTGCTTTCATCAGTCATTGCCATCAAAGCCATGATTGTGGGATCATTTAGATGAAGTAGAACACTGTCCATATGGGCCTTTAAAATATGGCCCACCTGGTGACTGTCTCCTGAGGGGCTCATCAGACATACAAATTCTGCCCACAAGTGGCTTACCTTGAGCTACTAGGACCATTCCCAAGCCTTCTGGTTACTAAGCCCTAGAGATGATTTTTTAAATGATCTTTTTACGTTTCAGTAATAAACTGAAGCAATACAAATGTTTCCTTATCACTCTGTAACCTAGAAATGTAATTTCATCCTGGGAAATCCAGACTAAAATGTCCATGCATGATGGACATGCTCCTCTATTCAACAAGACTTAGAGAAAGTTTCATTTTAAAATACTACTATGGATAAACAGTTCTGAGAAGTAGAGCCACAGTAACACAAACATCTCTCATATAGACTGGCAATGGGAACAGCCTCAGTTCTAAGGGATCATTGCCTCAAACTAAAGATTTTTCATTTTCCATTGTGTCACATGGCAATGTCTGCCATGACACCTTAACGCTCTCTTCAGGTTCCCTAGCAATGAGTATTTGAGACCCTGAACAGAGGATCAGCTCTAAGTGACTAAAACACAAGCCTATGTCAATCAAGGTCACTGGGTTATAAGTAAGACACCTGGATACTTAATGCCCTGTCACCTTTAAAGAGCATTCATTACATCATTAACATGGCAGCTAGATTGTTAGCCTCACTGGACGCTTGCTCTGTCTTTTCAGATAACCATCCTATTTTAACTAAAAGGGGGTAGCAAAATCACCCTATAAGAAAATATAGCAAAGAAGAAAAAAAAAAAGGAGAAAGAAGAAATTACCACCATTTCCTTCCCATAAAAAAATGAACTTTTTAATGTACTTCTTCATTTGACAGATAAGGAAATGAGAGGTGAAAAGGTAACTTTTCAGATATCAAAATCAATAGCAAAATGGAACTTATCTAGAGTCTCTGGGCTTCCTAAAAAATTGAGGCTTCCATAAAAGAATAACTTAATCAACAAAAAGAATTATTTATTTAAGAACATTCTGGGCAGATTGTCTCCCTGTTTTCTGATGATAGATTCCTAGGAATATTTAGGACTACTCAAAACAGATGGGACAAATAACCTCCACAAATCCAAGGACACCAGACAGCAATTCCAAAGCACATTTCAGTCTACCTAAACCAGATAAGGAAAATAAGCCCTTGAATAATCCAATGAGGTAAACACATCCAAAGAACACTCTGCAGTCCATCCAACATGCTCACATGCATTATTTTTTATTTTCCTCTCACAACAGTTCCACTGCAAGGAAAGAAATTGAGAACCAAGGAAGTCCGGCTAAGACCACGGCTGGTAAACAGCAAAGCTGGCAGTGGGGCCTAATCTTCTAAACTCCACATTCAGTGTAACTTCTACACTCTCCCCACCCAATGTTGTTGATGACAAGAAGCCAAACCTAACAGCAGAACCAAAAGGCTGACTGAACCACACCCTCAGGCCAGCTAAACAATGATTAAAATCCTTGTTGAAACCCAACACAGACTCCACCACCCTTAAAACTTCAGGACTGGGAATTTTCGGGACAAGCTGAGACCCAACCCACTGCAGAGAGATCCAAGCACCTGGCTCTCCTCTAGGAGCTTAAGGGTAGTCATACAACCTGCACCAGTGTAGGAGGGCTGACCTGTCAAGCACAGTAGGCCTGTGGGTGACACAGCCCAGCTGTGTAGGCCTCCCTCCAAGGACACTCCCAAACATTCCAGACCCTGGAGGGAGGGACCATGTCTGTCACCCTGGGCCTGGCAAACCTGAGAGAACTTTCCATACCACATTCATTTGCACCAGTAAGACAATTTCAAATAAAGTCCAAAAGAACTTCCTAGACTACACCTTGTAAGGATGCAGCAGGAACTGTAAACAGAGGCTCCTCTGGGGAGTGGGACCAGAGAAAGTCAATTTAAGCTTTTACCACTGGGAATGTATTACTTTTGTAATATTATCGAGAACTGGATCGAAACAAAATTAACAGCTATGAGGAGTATAGTGTAATCCTTAGTAGAAAGATATGAAGGCATGAAGCAAAACGGACATTAGATGATGAAACTAGTAACAAGAAAATTATTTTAAGCAAATTTTTTTTTTAAAAAACCCTCTTGAGGGAGGGCAAGGGGTGCGGTGGGCAGGGGGGAGGAGATGGGAAGGGAAGGGGAAACAAAGGAGCAGGCAACAATGCTTGATAAGAAACGTACTCATTATCTTGCCCATGTAATTGTAACTCCTCTGTATGGTATTTTCACAATTAAAAAAAAAACCACCTTCTAGGCATCAGACCTTTATAAAGTATAAGTCCTTTATAAAGGATTTATCTACAAATTTAATGAAACTTTGCTTTGAACATACAATCTTCTGGCCTCTGCCTCTGACTTCCCAGTGCTGGACTTTTATAGGCATGCACCTCCATACCTGGTCTAAGTGTATTTAGTACTCACTCTGTGCTTGGCATCTTCACATATTTCATTTGAGCCCAATAACCACAGAAAAGATAGCATTATCCATAGTGCTAGAGCAGGAAATTAGAAGCTAAGTAGCTTCCCATGGCTGAACAGCTATGGACTCCTGGAGCACAAAGATAGCAGGGCAAAATTAGAGTCACTGATAAGTCCTATAAGGGTCACTACTGCACAATTATGGGAAAGAACACATGGTACCCAGAAGCAATGCCTTCTATGCTGTTCCTTGTGTGGCTCTTCTCCATACCCAAACTTAAAGCTAACAGGTCATCAACAGGCCATGGCAGAGAATTTCACAACATGTTATTGGATTTTCACCAATCTTCCCATTCTCTCCCAGCCCTCCCTGCCATTTGAGAGATGACTGCCCAGCCACGGAGAATAGAGAGGTCATCTCAAACAAACCACAAAGAAGCCTTAACATGTTGAGTATGCACGTACTCTCAACTCCAATTCTTTATCCTATTTGTCACATCCACTCTTGTGGCTGACATAAGGACCCACAGTTTAAGCATCATAATACTAATAGCCAGTGCTCATTAATGTTATGGAACTGTTCTTAGTACAGTAGAAACTATGGTGAATCCTATGGAACTGTTCTTAGTACAGTAGAAACTATGGTGAATCCTGTACATAGAAATTATAGTCTTCCCTGGGGTGATACTGGTATCACCCCTGTGCATGTATGGAAAAACCAGCCTGAAGCAGTAGTTAAGTGACTTATAGGAGCCAAACTAAGAGGTTAGACGTAAAACTTAAATCCATGAGCCTCTCTCTACCAGCCACTGTGTGCCCTCTTCAAAATATGTGTGGTACCCCTTTTCTTCCAAGTATTCTCTTTGTCCTTCATCATTAAACCAATGAAACAAAATTTCTAGATAAAGGAGGCAATTTTTTGTCATAGGCTAGTAAGAAATGAGGTGTTACAAAACTCTGGAAATACAAACTTAAAACTTGTAATCAAGGCAAGAAATGCCAACGTAACCAACAAATACACACAAGCATATGTGGTATAACACCAGCTGATTACTTTGAAAGTTCAAACATTGGGGCTCTCAGTGGCTCTTGAATGTTAGTAAATCCTTTAATCCAAGCATCTTGGGAATGGGGTAAGATCAGTAAGTGAGCTCCCATTCCCCTCTGCAACACTGTTGACCTTCTATGCCTTATCAGTGCCTGTGGAACATGAAAACTGAGAGACAGCCCTCCACATAGATAAATTGAGATGCTAAAACTCCCTCAGCTCCAGAAAGGGGAAAAAAGAAAAGTTCATTAGTTAAGTGGTTTCCCTTTGAAGTTTCAAATCTAGTGCTGAATGCTAAGACAATCTTTCCATACTAACAGTATAGCTAACTTTCTTCTCAGAGCAGTGACACACTGAAACAAGAATGACAGCCTTGTGTAGTAGTTAGAAAGGACCCCATAAATGGCCAAATTGGTGACCTTCCAATGTCTGTAAGAAGTTTCACAAAGAATTACTAAAAGTGCATTATACCCACAGTCAACACGCCTCAAGCCTAAAAGAACTTCATTAAGGGAGAATTTCACCTTCGCAAACATTTCAGACTCTGTAATAACCATGCTCTCTCTTCATTTCTTCATTTCCTTATTTGGAAAACAGTATGTATAATCATTTTAAAATTTCTCCTCAAGACCTCTCTATAATGCATTTCATTTAAAATAAAATGTTACAAATGCAAAAAAAAAATTCTGTAATTACAATTATCCAAAACCCAGCACGGACTGCCTAGGAAAACAACCAAATTGCAGTCACCTTGGTCAGCACTGTCCACAAACTTGTCAGGAAGACAAAGCACATTCTCCCATTCCATCTGCTCAGGGAACTTTCATCTTCTGCAAGGGCTCTTTAGCGTACTTCTAAGGCTGCTTCTGTGCAGAGTATAAACTGCTACACACTGACTCTGCAGTGACATTCTCCTGGAAGGCCACTGTGGGTGTCCCTCAGGGGCTCTGGGAGGAGAACTTGAAAGAAGTTGAAGGAGTCCTTCCCCTCTCCCAGCCTCCCTTCTCACCAGGCAGCTTCCCTCCAACAGACCTGCTTCAAAAGTCCAGACCCAGTGAGGTCACACATGACCTCACAAACCTCCCACTTAACTCCTTACAAGCCAGGCTCCAGCGGATGACAGGGAAAAAAGGCAATCGTCCTAGTAAAATGAGAGTAATTGGTGCTTCAGGGGGAAAAAAAAGATGCTTGTCAACACTGTTCAAAATAAAAAAGTAATTTCATCACCAGTTTTCTTTCATAGCAGGAAGGCTTTTTCTGTTTTGAGTGCTATGTTAAAGATAATCATTTATTTCCTACAGTACACATATTCGAGCCCTAAAGGAATAATGGAAATAGCCCACAAAACAGATTTAATTTAATTTATATGAAATAAAGTTTAGCACCGTTATGTGACTTGTATTTTTCTACTTTCATTCTGGTTTTATTTCTGTTTTTCTGTAATTACTGATCTGGAAATATGTATTGGCCTTTTGTTCAAATCCTGCTCAGACAGCCAGAAGTGGACAGACTTCAGTCACAGCTGTCAGACACAGGCAGCAACTGCCACAGATGCTTCAGAGAACCAGAAACAACAGGAGTTGGGCATCTGCTCCAGACACAGCCGTCAGACCCAACTAATAGATAGCAGAGACTCCATCAGTGCTAAGAGAGCACTGACAGCAGCATTTTCTGAGCCATGCTTTTTCTCTGGCTTGTGCTATTTTTTAATTGAAATAAAGCAATTATAAGGATCCAAATGTAAAAAAACAAAAAAAAAAAGAAAAAGTTACCTCATAAATGGAAGTACATACAACATATACACTTACAATCTATGTGTGTGCAATATGCTCTTTCAAAAATGCCCTAGCATGTCAAAAAATTATTTTACTTACCAGTTTTATTCCTAAATATATACCTAGCTTATAGAAACTCACCCATATGTGCAAAGAAAGCCACATCTAAAAATACATGCAAATTTTCACACTGTTTGAGATAACAAAAATACAAGTCACAGCCAAAATGCTCATATATAGAAAAATGGAAATGTTAAGTTGTAATATAGTCGTATAATGAATTCTATACAGCAATTAGTTTAAACCGATAGGACAGGGCTTTATAAGCCAAAAAGAAGTCCATTTCAAATGCTAAGTAAAAACCAGCATCATAAAAGGAACAAAGAAGGTAGCATTTATGTAAAGTTCAAAACCATGTGCAAAGAAACTACCTGATATTCACAGAGACAGGTCTATGTCGGAGGGAGGGAAAGAAAAAGCAACCCAAGAAGGAGCATTCACAGGAGTGCCACTCACTTGAAATGTTGTCTTTCTTCGACAGGTCAGTGAGATCATGGATGTTTTCTACTTTCTACACTTACTAGTGTGACTAAAATGCTACCAAAATTTGAAAACGTCATTTCTACACTGGCTATTTTCGTCAGAGGCAAGGCACCTGTGAAGGTTAACAGGAGATAAAGAGGCTGATAATGAGCCTAATTCTCCATTCCTGCTGCCAAATCCAAGAGGCTGCCCTGGACTGTGCTCCAGTTCCACACAGCCACTCACACATCACATCAAAAAGCATCACTTTCAACACAGTCTCCATGACTCTCATGCAGGAGAAACCCAGCCCCAAGCCCTGACACCCAAGCCCATCAGGCCCCACACACTGGGGTTACTTGTGAAGTTATTGGCCTTCTCTTGGAAGACAACTAAGCAGTAAAGAATAGCTGCTCATTAAGTTCTTCATTTAGAAAAACCTGAGTGTCCAACATTTGTCGGCCATGGTGCCAGAGGTTCTCTGAGGCCCTAAACTAGGCCTGAGAAGTCCATAGCCTAATGAGAGAGAAGGAAAGGCCTATAACTGACTAAATATAATATTATGTAAAACCTAAAATAGTTGTTCAATGAAATGCAAGTATGAATAATGACCTTTACAGCTTTGATCCACAACATAATTATTCAATACCTTTTATTTCTCTATACTAAAGTCTAAATTATCATTCTTGGCATAAAAAAAATGTCACCTTGTTCATGCTGTGGTGGGGTAATAATTATAAAGATAATAAACTACTATTACTCCTCACCCTCAAGTAATCTAAGGCTCACAAAATTATTACAGATCTGCAACATCTTCAGTTTATCTTATCACAGACCATTCAGACTGGTTTCTTTGAAGATATTTTAAAAACACTAGTTCAGACATTGTTTTTACAGATAATAACAGTTCAACATGTATTGAGGATTCATTAAGTGTTGGTAAACTGTTATCCCTTTTCCCAAATAAGAACCTTAAGGTTGGGAGTACAAACCAAGGAGGTAGGACTTAAGAACACATACTCTTCAAAACCAAAGCATACTTAACTTCTATTGCTTTCCACTGTTGTGACAAAATACTAAAAATGATCAAGTTAAATGGAAGGAAGAGTTATTGTGGCTTACAACTCCAAAGGGTTCAGTTCCTAATCATTCAGTTCCATCACTTTGGCCATGTGGCAAGGTTGACTATCATGACTGAAGGCTTGTGGGCTACAGCAACACTAGTATCTTAGTGGCAGCCAGGAGAGAGAAGTGACCTGGATTCTAATATTCCCTTCAAGGGTATACCTTCCCCTATGACCTCACTTCTCCAACTAGGCCTCATCTTTCTAGGGTCTACCACCTGCCAATAGTGCCACAGATAAAGATCTAAGCCTTCAATACTTTGTCTTTAGGAGGTATTTAAAATCCAAACCATAATAATACCATTACCTAATAGGAAAGTCAATGAACTCCTATATGGGTGACATAGATAAAGATGCACTGTACTTATAAACTGATTATTAAATTATTAAATGGTAACCCCTTTGTACAATCACTTAAAGATAATAAAAATATACTTTTTAAAGTAAAATAAGACCCTCTATGTCACTGTGTCAGAGACACAAGAAGTCATTTCCAACACGTGCACCTCCATGTTTATTGCAGCACTGTTCGCAATAGCTAGGATATGGAAACAACCTAGGTGCCCCACCACAGATGAATGGATCCAAAAATTGTGGTATCTATACACAATGGAATATTATGCAGCCATTAGAAATGACAAAATAATGGCATTTGCAGGGAAATGGATGGAGCTAGAAGGAATCATGTTGAGCGAGGTAAGCCAAGAACGAAGAGACAAACGGTACATGGTCTCCCTCATAAGTGGATGCTAAATCCAAAAGGTTAGTGATACGACAAAACTAACAGGACTTAAGAAACAAAGAACTCCCGCTCATCTGGTTGAACCACTACTAAATATCCTCATGCTGCTGATCACAAATATGGTATATAACATGTGAACACTGTTATATATTACAGACTGTGGTAGACAATTTGCTCCAGGGAAGTTAGAATGAACTTGTGACTTTGAAATTATGTAATCATTTAATCACAATCAAAAAAAAAAAAAAAAAAAAAGAACCTCGGGGAAGGGAGGGAGGGAGGGGATGGTAGGGGGAAAACAATGGAGGGGGTAACAATGTTCAAGAGGAAGTGTACTCATAACCTCACTCATGTAACTGTGACCCTCTGTATAGTAGCTTTACAATAAAAAAAAAAAAAAAAAAAGAAAACCAAAAAAAAAAAAAAAAAAAAAAAAACAAATCAAGGGCTGGGATGTAGCTCGTGATAAAGAGCTTGCCTAGCATATGCAAAGCCTTGGGTCCCATTCAAGGAATAAATCTACGAAATCTAATAGATTTTTTTCCCAATGAGAATATTGTTATTTATATATGCATGACATTTTTAGAATTTTAGAAAACCAAACTATCCACTCAGATACTAATGAGAAATTTGTTATTTTTTTAAAATGCCATATAATACAAGCTCTTGGGATGGCTATTACCAAGAGCAATTTCCCTATAGTCAGAGAATAGAACTGGCTTCTAGCTTTCAAGTTGTGACTGTGGGAAGGCACTTACTCCCTCTGAAATCCAGCTTCTGTGTAGAAATCCTTATTAGACAAAATAAAGATCTTCTAATAAGTAACCCAAAAAAAAAAAAAAAAAAAAAAAAAAAAAAAAAAAAAAAAAAAAAAAAAAAAAAAAAAAAGAAGTCATTTCCAGAGTCACTGCCAGGAACATGCACTGTTTACAAACCTCAACCACATTTACCTCTCAAGAGCTGCTGCCCCTGGGAGCCGGGGCTGTGTCCTCCTCGGGACATCTGCCTGTACTCAGAGCCTAGCGAGTGTGTCTCAAACTTTAAAACAGCTATCAATTTTTTTTAAATGTGAACTTCACTGAGCAGGCCCAATATGAAGTGTGAAATATCATGATGCTTCTAACAAGGTCCAAGATGCTGCTAGACTAAAGAGCTTACCTAGCAGTAGCAAGTAGGCTGCATATCAGAATCACCTGCGAAGATTTGGAAGCAATTAGTATTTAAGGGCCAGGCTAGACCAATAGAAACCAGAATCTTAGAGAGTCAAAATTTGAGAGACCTCCCCTACATAATTCAAAGGTACCATCAGATTTGAGAATCATTGTTTTACAGCTGTACTAATCAAAGGTGGTTCCAGTCTCGGTCCAGATCTCCTGGACAATCAAGGTATGTATGCTATCTGTATACTTAAGATGCAAATTCTAATTTAGTAGGTGATCGGCGGACGCTCTACACGTGAGTACCTTGCAGGCCTGACCCTGACCTACTCCTGACTCTGAGAGCTTTCTCACTTCCAGAGCTACAAGTCTCAACTGGGAAGAGGGTAACTGAAGACTCTCCAATGACCTTCAATCCCACATAATCCCCTATGTCTCCATTAGTGGCAGACCTGTTCTCAACAAATGCAACCTGCCTTTAAAACTGACTTTACTAGGTGTTCTACAATCCCACTTCTTGATTCAGTAAGTTACCCATGCTTAAAATCTCACAGTCTTTTTA